GACTCTCTTCAGTATGGTCCTAACGCACCCGCCCACTTTACCTTCTTGAATGTGTGTCTTATTCATGCTGTCAGATTCTGCGAAACTGCTCCTCACTGTTTCCTGAATACATTCTTTTTTTTTTTTTTTAGGGTGACACAAAGTTTTCTTTAATTATTCTTTGGGGGGAAGGGATGCTACACTTCTACTCAATTAAGAAAAACATTTTTATCAGCACAGAAGTCTTTTTTTACTTTTTCCCACTTATCATGCCATGAATTCATAGGGAATGGGTTCCAGCAGCTCAGGCTCCTTTCCATTGGTCTCACAAAGCGTGCTTCTCTGGGTGGAGCAGGCTGACGCTTCCGTTGAACCCAAGTACCTTTCTCTTTGGTTTCCTTCTTTTTCTGATCATTTTCCTTCACACGTTTCAGGAAGCTATCTCGACTCTTAGAGAGCTTAATATGCTCAATATGCACATTAACTCTCTTGGCAAGAATCTTGCCCTTAACTTGCTTGTTCACAATAATGCCCACTGCATGCTGGGTGACATTGTAGACTCCTCCAGTTTTGCCATGGTAACATTTGTGGGGCATTCCTTTTTGAACACTGCCCATTCCCTTGATGCCCACAATATCACCTTTCTTGTAGATTCGCATGTATGTGGCCAAAGGAACAACTCCATGTTTTCTAAAAGGCCTAGAGAACATATAACAGGTGCTCTCCTCTTTCCCTTTGTGTTAGTCATTTTGGCAAATTACTGGAAGATGGCGGTTCCAGCCGAAAGGCCTGAATACATTCTTCATGTCTCACCTTTGTACCTCTTCCCATTCTATTTGCTCAGAAGTCCCCCTCTCCTCCCTTTGAGGCAGGACAGTGAGAAGCCAGAAAAATTCCTTGGCAGGTAGAATGGGTAAACTGAAACAGACAGCTGATTCAAACTGGCCGCATCCAGCATCCGGATTTTCCTGCCTCCTCCCTGGCATGACACTCCCTTAAGCATTAAGCCCTCAGGACAGAGAGTTTCTGATCAGCATCATATAATGTTAGGAACAAAGCCTCAGGTTTGTTGACCACAGGGACAGGCCTCAGTTGTGTTTCAGCTCCAGGCCCAGAAAAGCAGCAAAACCAGATGAAGAAATGTCATGGTTGGCATCAGGACCAGATGCAATGACCAATAACCCCTAACCTAGCATGGACCAATTAATAGAGGACAAGATCCTGACCCTATATGCTCATGTTGATGGATCAGCATATTAAAGGGCACACCTGGAAAGCTGATGAAGATTCTATTGAGATCCTCCCCCCAAGACTTCCCTTAAAATGCCTGCTTTAGAAAACAGATGAAGACACCTAAGACAAAGGACCCAGTGTGCGCTCTCAAGAGCACACACACACCTTCTTTCTTCAGGCATGTATATTTGCTTTCTCTCTCCAAAGCTCTAAGGGTTCCCATGAAGCTTGCAACCAGGAGAGCAGTGGGCAGCGGCAGCTCGGCCTGGGCTAGCCCAGTCGGTGAATCTGTGTCCAAAGGCCCTTCTTTTGCCTATGTAACTTGTTGCCCAGCTGGCTCACTTCTTCTGCCTCTGTGACTTTCCAAAAGGCCAAGGCAGCTCTCTGAGCAGCCAGCTCAGTTTTCTTGGAGTGTACTTTTGCTTTACATGCTAAATAAACTTCCACAATGCTAGAGTTCTTGGCTCTGAATTCTTTCTTTGCCAACTCAAGAACCGAGAGGCAACATTGCCAGTAACACTTTTATCTCAACTTACTGATAGCATACCCATCTTTCTAGTCTGCCTCAAATTCTTCCTCCAGCGAGATGCTGTTTCTTAATCACACCAACCAAATGGCACTCTACCTTCTTATCATATTATGAAGTTAAGTATAATTCTAATCTCTTATTGACTGCAAGTTCCTTGAGAGCAAAGACTGAGTTATTCTTCTTCCTCACAGTGTTAAGCCCTGGACATTTAAGACATGAGGTAACACATATCTGCTTAACTCAAGCTGTGATATAGTTCTTTTTCTTTCTTTTGGGAAATGAGGTGGTGTTGGAGCATGGAAGGCATTAGTGCTCAAGGCCTGGCTCAGTGATGGGACTGCTGCAGGAAGGCAGCTGCACTGTCAGTCTGAGGACACACAGTCGTCGTTGGGATCAGCTTCTGTCCCGAGTCATGTCCTATAGTAATAAAGGGTCACTGTGTCAGTGGATGGTCAGATGTGGCCCCAACACATGCAGACTCCCCAAAGGGCTTCTCTAACAAAAGGCTCCAAAGTCCAGAAAGCCTTGGGTGTGGGGGAGGAGGAGGTATTTTTATTTCTGAAGCCTCCTGGCCTCAATTTTCAGATGAGCCATGTAAATATGCAGTACGTTTGGAGCTTGTATTTTGCCTACTTTCCTCCAAAGGCATACATTTTGCTAGCCGTTCCTTGTAATTTAAAGAAATGCATTGAACAGAACCCAGCCTTTACCTGAAAGTCACAAAAGTCAGTCATGACCGAGAAAACGCCATTTGTTTAAATGCATGGTTACCTTGTATGAGATTTCAAAGTTTTCACCGCCCCAAATCTGGAGACCTGGATCATACAGACCCAGTTCAAAGAAGAACTCTCGTTCAATGGCAAATAATCCACCAGCCATGGCTGGGGACCTGAGAAAAAGAAACACTTGAATAACTATTAAGGATAAGCCCCTTCACCAATAGACAACAAGTCATTTTAGAATACAATCTAGATAATGCATAGAAGAGATAAAACTGATGGCCAAACATTAAGAAATTATAAAACCTTGCAAAAACGATCTGTTCATAATTCCTCAGTGAATTTACTGAAATTTCTAATTGAAATAGAATCATATAGTTCATTATAAATTAGAGCATTGCATCATTTCACCATTAGATGGAGCCTTGGTTCCTGTGTTAATTTAAAAATTAAGCCTTTAGATTTAGTAGAAGTAGCATTTTCTCTTTCACTCCTAAAAATACTGAGCCATACAGCCCTGGTTGGCTAACTGCTCCTGCAATGATTCATGAGTCATTATGGGATGAGCAAAACCATACACCATGGAAGTAGTCTGTCGTTTTTTAATTTTATAGCTCAGGGGCTTGCCAAATAAGGGTGTAATTCATCTTAGAACAGTCACAGTTCATTCAGAGTTTGCAAATACAGCGCAGAAGCGACACAGAAGAAATAGACATAGCCACTTACTGTGCCAGGGGGAGGCCTGCAGAAGGGCGATCGGTGCGGCCTCTTTAATTTGGTAATTTTTAGGGACAAGATAAAAACAATTGGGTAGCTTTATAGGGACAAGCCACTCACATCATTAGATGAGATATGGGACTAATTTATATCCTGTTGCCTGCATCCCCCACCCCGAATAATCATTTTTTTCCGAATAATTAATTATTAATGCATCATGATTCTTGAGATGCCTCTATTAAAGTACCTTTTTAAAAAATCACCACACCCAATATTCAATCTACCACTAATTCCTATTAATTCTATCTTGAAAACATATCTTGAATCTGTCTACTTCTTTCCAACTTCACTGTTCCCTTCCTGGACCAAGCCACCACTGCTTGGACTGTTGCAGTAACTTTGTCACTTGTGTCCTTTAGTGTCCTTTATTCTCTTCTGCCCCCGCCCAAGTCTAACCGCACCACAGGCAGAAGGGACTCAACATGGGTCCCACATGCCAGCTCTCTCCACTCTGAGGCTCTGCTGGCTCCCTCGTCCTGGGTTCTCCTTCCCTGCTCCGCTCATGCCTTCAGCTTGCCAAACTCTCTTCTGACTCAGGGCTTTCACCTGTGCTGTTCACTCTCCTGAAATGTTTCCCCTCCTCCTCCATAAGGTTAATCCCTCATCCTTCAGGTCTCAGCTCCAGTGACACTTTGTCAAGAGGCCGTTCCGGATCCTCCAGGCTGGATGAGGTTATCCTTTCCGTCAACTCTGTTCCAGAGTGATATATGTGGTTTTCTGTTTAACTTCTGTCTCACCCGCTATATAAGTGAAACAAGGGAACCTATCTTTTAAAAATTTATTCCCAGAAAATAGTGCCTGGCACATAGTAAGTACTCATTAAATATTTGTCGAGTGGATAAATAATGAATCAAGTAATTTTTTCAATGTTAAAGAAAAATCACATTGGATCAACATTATTCTGTCATACCCTTTCTTCTTAGAGTATGCTGCCTAACTCACTAAATATTAGCACTATTACATTTTTGGTTATATTTTCATGTCACATTTATTTAACTGTCATTTAAAATTATTATAACTCTGCCTTTTT